CAAATCCCCTAGAGCCAACAGTGTGGCTCAGTGGGTGAAGGCATTTGCTGCCAGGCTTGATAAGTCTTAAGTTCAATGTTCAGAACCCTCATAGCAAAAGGAGAGCACTAACTCCCCCACAAGGTGTTCTCTGACCCCCACATGTTCTATTGGCATATGCACTCATACATATATGCACACACCAAAAAAAAAAATGTTTTAAAAAAGCCCCTGAAGACTAGTTGGTATTACATGTGGTTACCTTCTAGTTTGTCAGTTTCGTGGAGCAGGACACAGACATTATTAAAGCATAATGCTCTTTGCCCACTCTCCTTGTTTAGGGATCTGTAGATAGGAAAGGTGCTTGCTGTCTTTTCTCCCTTCTTCAACTCCTCCCTGCCTGTTGGGCCTTTGCCTCAGCACTGAGGCGTTGGCAGTTTCTGACCATCAAGAGCTTACCATTTCTGTTGTTACTGCCCAAAGCTTTGATCTCTAACAGACATGGGAGTCTGTAGTGCCCCTCACCTCCCCACTCCACAGTAGATCTGTGTGCCTTTACAGTTACTGGAAGGGGGCTGGCTGGCTTTGGCCTATGGGTTCTCATGCTGGGGTCATCAGAATTGATAAAAGTCAGACCTGGCTTTGAGGTTGAGCTGAGCTGGCATAACCAGATCCTGCCTACAGGGAGTGGGCATGAACCTTTGCTGTGGTATTCACTCTGTGTCTCTGGAGTCCCAAAGGCCACACTGTGACCTGCGAGGAGCAGGTGTGCTCTTACAGGACCTGGACGGTATTGATGCCTCTGGATGGCAGGTGTGACTCCTCAGATGGATGCCAGACCTAAGAACATTCAAAAGCATGCCAGTGCCCAGATGGGTGGGACCTGTTCCCTTTGGTTGTTCACTGTGCTGTCCTTCCTGCCTATGTGTTTCTGTAGTTAAGCTCAGTTGCATCGTGACCTGAGTACCTGGAGCAAGTGAGGCCAGATTGGCAGGGCTGGCAGCCAGAGCCACTGCTCTCTTAGCAGGTGATGCTTAGCAGGGTTTTAGGGGTACCTTCAGTGGATCCACAGTCAGATACTATAGGCAGAACACCTGCCCTCTGACCTTCTCTGACCTCATCCTGTGTTTGCCCCATCTTTCCTCGGGGTGGACATTTGAGTGTCCTTGGCAGAATAGTAACAGAGCAGAGTGAGAGTGCAGGCTGGATGCTCGGGCGCTCAATCCAGGCTGCTCTTGGCTCCTGCTATAGAGAACTAATAATTGCTGCCTCTTCTCCTTTGTCTGGGAGGGAGAGGAAAACTTCTGTTCTCACACAGTGTCTTGCCATTCTTGTCAACACTAGGAAGTAAGGTTTAATTTGGTACGTCCATTTCAGACAAGGAACCTCCTCCAGTTCAGATAGATTTAGGTGAGGTATGCATTCGGGACAGAACCAGCTTTTTGGTCAAACCCCCCCCCCCCCCCCCCGCAAAAGTTGAAAGTAGAACCCAGGACCTCATACGTGATTAGACAAGCCTTCTACCATGGAGCTGCATCCCAGTCTCAGAGTCAGGTCTACCTTCCGTAGGCACTTAGGTCTGTTTTTCACCAGAGTTTCGAGCAGTATAGTACCTTTGCCTGGCTTTACCATAGTAGTCCAACAGAGGTGTCTGTTTTCCCCAGTGCCATCACATGTGTGCATGGAAGGAAACTCAGTTACTACTCTTTTTTTCCAGTAAGAAGATTCAAGAAAGCCAGTGTTTCTGACAAAAGTTACTCCTTTTTAGGGGTAGAGCAGCTCTGGCCCTAAGACTGAGACTTGGGGCACTGTAGTAAGAGGAACGAGAGTCAGTTCTAAGGATCTCTTCTTACCCAGGGGCAGATTTAGTTTATGGGAGTAATTCATATTATGACCTTTCTTGCTGGAGCCTTCAGCTGGACACGTAGCACTTTGCATGTGCACTACCTCTATTTTCTGCTTCTAGGGGGGATGGCTTCTGCTAGCCCCAGGCAGATCTGAGTCACACTGAAGTCCCACTCACTCACCCTTACACTTCAGATCCCCCCCACACCCCCACCCCCGTGTGGAGCCTTTGATGTACCTAGAGTGGAAATCTCTGGTTTGCCAGCTTTGGTGTATGCTCATGGGTATTTTGGATTCAACTTGTGGGGTCTTTGACCTAGAAGCCCTCTGGCCAGCCACTGTCCTTCAGGGCAGCTGTTCAGAGCTGATGACAGTCAGACTGGTTTTCCCCAGTGGGAGCTTGCTTGATACCAGCTCAGTAAAAGGTAATTGCCCTGGGGCTTCCTTCTCCGGCCTGGCTCTCAAGGGGCCAGCATGGATATGCAGGAGTAGGCTGTTCCAGAGAGCAGAAGAACAGTGCCAAAATACCCCCATCCTCACCACTTATCAGCAATAGAAAGTTTCTGGTTGAATTAGTGTAAATGAGAGGGCCTCCAGGACGTCTCTCCTGGAATGGGGGCCAGGCCTACTGCCTGCCTAGGATTTCCTTCCCTCAGGTTGGAGCCTTCTCCCCCCCTCCCCCAAGCTACAAGCCCCTCCACCCAGCCCCACCCCAGGGAAAAGCTGCTGCTGAGGTTCTCACAGGTGCTTCAGAGCATGACTCACAGGCTCTCCCATATCCAAGTGCAGCAGGAGCTGGCTGCAGAGACCCTAGCCTTTCCTCAAGACAGCCACTGAGGCACCACATGAAAGCTGGAGGTTATTGCACAATGTGCTTTGATGGCCCTGGCAGTCTTTAGCCAGTGACAGGAGGTTTGGCAGATGCAGAGGAGGCTAGCAGGAGGCTCCTGTGCTTGGCTTGGAAACAGGGCTTGCTCCCTGATGTCCAGCCCTGGGGGGCAAAGGGGGAGCAGAGGCTCCCTGAGTACTGAATGGGAGGTTAAAAGCGAAGCCATCTCGACGGGGAACACACAGTCTAGGGAAGTCTCCTGAAAGTGGCCACTGCCCTTTCTTCCCACCACTCTGCTTGGAACCTTTAGGGTGCTAAGAGGGAAAGACATCCAAGGACAGTCAGCTCACCCGTGTAACCAGCGTGCAGCAGGCAGCCAGTCTCCTCCCCGCCCACAGCCCTTCCTCTAGCCCTGCTGCTCAGTCCTGCGCCCTTTCCCACCCCCTTCGCTCTGTACTTGGGATCCATGTGTTCAAAGGCCACAGGACCAGGTGACCTCACCCTTGGCCCCCAGCCATTCCCAGGCCTAGCTGCTCTGGCAACTTGCGGCCTGTTGAGGGGCTTCAGCCCATGTTTAGCTGTATTGTCTGATCACTCATCCTTCATCTCTAAGCTTCTTGGGGATGGGGAAGTAGGACTTAGTTTTGGCCGGAAATACAGATATGGCTGTGGTGGGTGGTGGTGCTTGCTCTTGGCTGATCACACAGGGCACCCTGGCTGGAGAAAAGGGTCTGTGGGTTGTCTGCACTTGGGTGCTTTTGAAAGTGAAAGGGGCATGCTGCTGAGTTTGCTGAGCGGCCAGGACAGTGGTCACTGATTCAAAGCAGAAAAGAGAACTTCACAGAGTCCTGCCATGTAGGAATGGATGGATTTGCTTCCTGTGACTCCGATGTGCCTGGGGCCTGGGTTTGGACAGTGGCAGGTCCCCATGAATGGCCATTGTGTCTTCCCTTTTGTAGGTATCCCAGTCCTTTCTCCTTGAGGGTTGTCTACATTGCCCTGTCAGCTGAGTTTTCTCAACATCCTTGTTATGCTAGTGCAGTGTGTCTGTACAGAGAAGGCACCCAGTGAGCCCCACCACTAGCCTAAGACCACAGAACTAACTGGGGAAACTTGGCAAAGCCTGGAAATCCTCGTGCTTGGGTTTCCTCGGGGCTGTCTCAGCCGATCAAGGACTTCTCCCAGAATGAATAACAACGGTGGGGAAACTTAAGCTGAAAAGCTTGGCCTGCGGGTGATGGGGAAGGCTCCTGAGGTGCCTGAGGAGGAGCGTGCACTGTCTGGCACCTCGCTTGGCAGCCTTTATGCTTTGGAGACTAGATTGGAAGTGAAAGGCTCTATAGTCTGGCCACCCTCCCTCACCCCTGCAGTTGTGCATTGTCTTCATGTACAAGTGTGCAGTGCACAGCTCAGACAGCTCTGTCTGGCCATTGTCACTTAGAACATAGGATCAGGCTGCCCCACATGTGTACAGGGGACATCTACGAAGCCGAAGATAGGGGATCATGCCTGTCACGGGTATCCTCAGGCTTCCTGAGGCAGTCTCCCTCACCCTTTCTGCCCACTACCTAACACCTTGGCTAACAAGGAAAATTGAGGGACAGGACAGAACTTAGAAGGACCACTGCTTTGTCTCCTTACTAGCTTTAACCATAGCCTATTATCCTTTACCGATAGTGGTTCTCTGAGCTGCCTTTCCCTAGAATCTGAACCAAGTTATTGGGGGCTGCTTCCTAGGGCACACTAAGGCCTCATCTTTCTTATTAGGGCTTTTCTGGAAAGATTCAGTTATGGCCCTCTTGCTTAATGTGTCCTGTAAAGTATCATGATAGAATGAATTTGCCCTTCCCCTGCCCAGCAGGCAGGCTCTCCGACTCAACACCTCTGCCCATCTCTTTTTCCTCCTGTGGCCAGTCTCGGAAGCCCAGGTTTGAGGGAGGAGTCGGTAGTGCTTCGGTCATGTTCCTGACCTTCTCCTACCACCTAGTCCCATTCTGGCTGAGTTCTCAGAGCCCCTCTTCTCGAGTGTCTAGTGAGGAGAAAAGAAGAGGTGTGATTGTTGCTTTCGCTCCTCCTGTGCTTTGGTGCTGTTATCCGAAGCACTCCTCAGACTCGCCAGACTTCATTCATGGCAACTCAGTGCTAGAAGGAGAGAAGGGGAGCCAGTCCTTGGACAGCTACTGAGAGTCTGACTGCGTGCATCTGGAAGGCTGGTCCTAGGAAATTACGAGCTGGAGGACAAGAGCAGGAGTGAGCCAGAGTCGCTTAGGGTGAGGGTAGGTGGGCTGCAGTGGAGGAAAAGGGGGCAGTGACCAGGTCTTCTCATTGCCTTCCTTCTGTCCTGCAGCTTGGAGGGATTCCATGACACACACTCGGAGGAAGTCCCTTCCTATGCTGAGTTCCGGCCCTACAGGCCGAGGGGAGCCCCTGCAGATGGAAGACAGCAATATGGAGCAGGGGGCTGAAGACGTGGAGCCAGGCATGCCTGCAAGCCCTGGGCACCTTACAGGACGCCGCAAGAACTACCCATTGCGCAAACGTTCACTGGTCCCAGAGAAGCCCAAAGCCTGCAAAGTGCTGCTGACTCGCCTGGAGAATGTGGCTGGTCCACGGAGTGCAGATGAGGCCGATGAGCTGCCCCCCGACCTGCCCAAGGCCCCTAGTCCAACCCCATCCAGTGAGGATGCTGGTCTTATGCAGCCCCGCAAGCGGCGCCTTGCCTCCCTGAATGCAGAGGCCCTTAATAATCTGCTGCTGGAGAGGGAGGACACCAGCAGCCTGGCAGGTGCCCGCCGAAGCAGAGGTGTGGACCCTCACCGTAGCCGGGACCGGGCCACAGGGTCCTGGTCTTTCTCTAAGAAGCGACCTCGGCTGGGAGATCTTGGAGAAGGAAGTAGGGACCTGTCCCCAGAGCTAGCCCCAGATGAAGGTGCCCGTCGAGATGGAGACCCAGCTCCCAAGAGACTGGCTAGCCTAAACGCTGCTGCCTTCTTAAAACTCAGCCAGGAGCGGGAGCTACCTCTTCGACCTTCCCGTGCCCAAGCAGAAGCAGATGGGCGCTCCACTGAGCCCCTGGCACCCAAGACCCTGCGGCCAAAAGTCAATGGCAAGAACTGTCCCAAGGCTCGGCAAGGGGCTGGCTCTGGGGAGGCTACAGGGCCCCCCAACTGGCAAGAGCAGCCTGATGAGCGTTGGCCATCTGCTCCTCCTTGTGGGCCACCCATCCAGCCATCTCACCAGGCCCCAGGCAAGGCTTTGGAGAACCCCTTGCGCCCCAACCTGCCTCTGCTGATGGGTGGGCAGGCAGCCCTGAAGCCAGAGCCTGGTCGTCCAGGCGAGGAGTCACCTGCCCCCAAGCAGGAACTACATCAGCCCTCCTTCCCTGCACCTCAGCTGTCTCCGCTGCCGATGCCAGGCAACCCAGCCGACTATAGTGGTCCATGTGGAGGGCCTGAGCTCACTGCACTGGGCAGCTTCTACCTGTACTGTGGCCAAGATGGGCTGCAATGTGGGGGTTACTCCCCTTGCCCCATGCTCCCAGAAGGCAAGCTGTCTCCGGTGGCAGCCCCCAATGAGGGGCTGCTCATGGCCCCAAGCTCAGTGCCCTCCACTGCCCCTTTCCAGCACCCTCCTTGGAGTGTATCTCGCTACTGCTCCGGTGAGGACACTGGAGCGAATGGCTACAGTGTCTGTGGAGTGTTGCCTCTGTCTCTCACACACATTGGCACTACCTGTGGTGGCTGCCCCTACAAAATGCCTTTTACCGCAGGTAAGCTTTGTGGGGACACGTGGTGTGCTAGCCGGGGTTTGAGACATGGCATCCCAGGAGGCTGGGATGTAGCTCTGGACAAGGGCTCTGTTGGGACTATGTACTACCTGGGAGGCTGGGAACTTTGAGAAGGGAGGTCTCTACTCATTTAGGCAATGTTGTCAGCCTAGGAACAGTCCCAGGAAAGTGTCCCATGGTTAGCTCTTAGGGCATGCTTTGCTTAGACTGTCAGTGAGATTTTACAGCTTGGAAGTAATTAACATTGCCATAGAACTGGACAAGGTCTTTCCTCCCACATTGGATTCCCCTTAGACTCTTAGGTACAGGAGTTAGGGCCTTCTGTAAGCCCTGAGGTACAAGTCTATAAGCTCAGCTACACTGAAGGCTGAGTCATGCTTCAAGGCCAGCTAGGGTTACAGAAAGAGACCCTGTCTCTAACAAAAATAGAAAAAGGCCTGGGCTTAGCCACGATCGGAATGTTGACTTAATATGTATGCATGGGATTTATTTCTCAATCCTGGGGGAGAAAGAATCAAACTAGGGTCTTACCAAGCCATTTCCATGTGCCTTCTTCTGTCCTGGACTCTCCCTCTTCCCTCGGAGAGCTGCCATTCTTCATGTTCCAGGAGACTATCTACATGCTGGCTGAGTTTAGCATTCATAGGAAGGTTATGGGCTCAGGACATTATGCTAGGAGTAGTGGGAGTTTTGCTTTAGTGTACAGGCTTTGAAAAAGACAAGGTGCACAAGCATGGCATGTGTGAATAATTGTTTATAGCCAGGGTAGGTGGGCATACTAGCAGCGTTCTCCGCTGTGGTCACAGTGGACTCAGACACTGGGATGGCTTGTGCCCAGCACAAACAGCACTGGACTGGAAAGGCTGTCCACACCTGTCTCTCCAGGCTGCTTTCCCCAGCTTCTGGGTAGAAATGAGGTGACTAAAGCCATCCTGACCAGCAGGTCTGCCCTGTGTGAGTGGTGAGGGTTGGGCCTTCTCTACGCTCTTCCTTCCTCTCCCCACACCCCTTCATGTAGGGGTCTATAAAACAGCTTTATAGACCACTTGGCTCTGGCCAGACTGGTTATGTCAGGTTCTAGCATGAATTGGAGTCGTAAGAAACAAGAGCAGGCTGGTTCTTGGCTTTTCCTCTTAGACCCTCACCCTGATAAGTAAGACCACCAGTAAGCACTGTGTGCCAAGAACCCTTCTCAGTGCTTGACACACAGGTCACAAAGTGTGTAATTATGCAGACTAGCCAAACTACCTGGATTGAAGTGCCCCCCCCCCCCATCCCCATGACCATTGGATGAGCCAGTGACTGCTCTGTTTCCTTCATTGTAAAGTGGTAGTAATAGTACCTACCTCAGGGATGTTGTAAGGTGAAATGAGTTAATATGTAAATAAGGAAAACAGTCAGGAAATTCTGTGTCATACTTGAAAGCACTACTTAACATTTCTCAGAGGGGCCAGAGTGACTTCCTGAGGTCACATGGCTGGTAAGTGGTAGGTGTGGGACTCATATTCCAGTCTGTCTGACTCCAGAGCCCCCTGCTTCTCAGTCCTGTGAAAACCCTAGAGAAGCTTAAGTCAAAGCTAATGCTTTTGCTGTCACTCCGTCCAGTTAGAAGGGGACACATAAATGTTTGCAGCCCAGTTTCCAAGGTGAAGAAAGGACCCTGTCCCATCTGCCACCTCTCTGGCCCTTGAATTGCACCTTAGAACTAAGTGAGTCTTGAGACCCGGAAGCAGATCCTCAAGGGGTCACCATTGATCCTACCTGCCTTAACTCACTCTCCTTTTTCTAGAAGGCTGCAGGTCGCTCGGCCAATTGGAATTTCCTCTCCCAGAAGCTGGCCACCCAGCCTCACCTGCTCACCCCCTCCTGGGATGCCCTGTACCCAGTGTGCCACCTGCAGCAGAGCCTATCCCCCATCTTCAAACACCCATCTCGGAGCCCCAGACAGTAGCCCGGGCGTGCCCTCAGAGTGCCAAGCCTCCGAGCGGCTCCAAGTCAGGTCTACGCACAGGCTCCAGCTGCCGGCACACTGTGAGAAGCAAGGCTGCCCGCAGGCCCAGCCACCCCAAGCAGCCTCGTGCCCAGCGCCCACGTCCTCGCCGCCGCCGGCGCCGCCGCACTAATGGCTGGGTACCTGTAGGTGCTGCCTGTGAGAAGGCAGTGTATGTCCTGGTGAGTGTTAGCTCTTAGCTGATGGGAACAGGTGGGGGCCATAGGGCACAGGACATGTAATAAGATGGGTCTGGCTACTCGGTTCACTTCAGGAACCAATCGTGTTGTTGTTCCCAGCACCCCCCTCTGCCCCCTCCCCAAGTTCTGGATCACATGTCCTGGTGGTTACTGTTTATCACTTATTCTCAATGACCTAAGTCTTCAGCTTCTTACCCCTATTCAATCTACCTTCCACCCTACACTAAAATGGGGGTCTTCTGGAGAGAATGTGTAGGAAGAGTTTGGGTGGGCACAGAAAGTTAAGTGATAGAACACTGGGCGGTGGAAGCAGTATCAACCCAAATGGATTGAGCACTTCTGAAATTGACGTTTGATCGAAGCTGAGCGCTCTGCATGCTGTGGGCTCTGTGATCCTCACACCACCATATGTAGTAGGCTCCTCCACGGTCTCTGCAGAGAGAAGGAAACAGGCTTAGATAACTTGACCAAGGCTTTGCTACTTAAAATGATTATTTAAAGGTTCAGATTCAGACTGTGCCAATAGTGCAGATGCTTAGAGAGCCAGCCACTTCCCCGCCAGAGTCACTTTTTTCCAATCATAGGTATTCCCCAGCCTCAATCCTCTCCCCAAAAGCCAGGCTTGGAGAGGAGGACCCAGCCTGCAGCTATGCTTAGTGTGTTGACTGCCTTGATGAAGGAGAGTGGATATTGATTCCTGCTTCCCTCCATTCTCGCTCTGATTGTGGCTCTGAAAACTTTGAAAACTTATTTGTGTCATTGGTTTGTTGCCCAGGATGAGCCGGAACCTGCCATCCGAAAGAGTTACCAGGCAGTCGAGCGGCATGGAGAGACCATCCGAGTCCGAGACACTGTCCTCCTCAAGTCAGGCCCAAGAAAGACATCTACACCTTATGTGGCCAAGATCTCTGCCCTCTGGGAGAACCCTGAGTCAGGTACATGTTCCTCAGACTGGGAACCAAAGGAACAGCTGCCCTCAGTTGGCCCCTGCCTACAGTTTGGCCTGGCACAAGACCATCGTTCTTGGCAGAGTCTGCCTACCCCTCATCTGGGGTCTGTCTCCTGCGGAGGCTGTAGCAACCTTGTGACTTGAGTTGACACTGTGCACTCACTCTGTTAGCCACCAGAGCCTGAGCACTTGCCCCATACCTCACCCGTCAGAGCCTTCCTCCCGTGTCTCCATGTCTAACAGCATTCCAGGCTGCTGAATGCTTGGCCTTGCTCAGAGGACACAGGTGGCCGGAGCCTGCAGGATTGGGCCAGTAGCTGGGGTTGGACAGACCTCTAGGGCAGGTGGCCAGCAGGGTTGCCAGCTCCAGCCATGACCTCTTCTGTTGTCCCCCTAGGAGAACTGATGATGAGCCTCCTGTGGTATTACAGGCCTGAGCACTTACAGGGAGGCCGCAGCCCCAGCATGCATGAGGTGAGCTGCCTGGCATGGGAGGGGCCAGAGCAAGAGGTGGTAGCATTAAAACACAGCATAGGGAGGGGGCAGCTAGGACACAGCCAAGTCCCCTGGGGTTTATCCTCTCCCAAACCCTGTCCCAACTTATGTTCCAAATGGGAATTATGACCATTGAGGGCCAATGGTTTTCAACTCTCTTTGAAAATGAAGAGTGAGCAGTTCAATTCTAACTATGGGATGGTGAGCTAACACTGCCTACTAAGCCACTTTAGTATCTGCAGCACACAGAACCTCTGGACTGAGGGCCTCTAGGCCAAGGGTAGGCCAAGCACACCTTTTATTTCCTTCCCTTTTGCAAGGACTTTTTTCTTTTTCTTTTTTTCTTTCTTTTGTTTGTTTGTTTTGCTTTGCTTTTTGTTTTTGAGACAGGGTCCCATCATATAGCTCTGGCTAGTCTGAAACTTGATATGTGTGGGTAGACCAAGTTGGCCTTGAACTCACAGAGATACAACTGCTAGGATTAAAGGCATACCCCAGCACACTGTCCCATCAGTGGGACCTTTCATTTCATGGAGGAGATAGGGACCGGTCTCTTTTCCTCTTAGGGATGGGGTTGGTAGTCGGGTCAAGAGTTAGACTACACTGACTCCCTCGCTTGCTGAAGGTGGCTAAGGCCAGCACGTTCCTAGAGTTAGGTGCCTCTCTCTAGCTCCCATAACCGACTAAGCTGCTCCTGTCTCTCCTTGAGCCTTTGCAGAATGAAGTTTTTGCATCAAGACATCAGGACCAGAACAGTGTGGCCTGCATTGAAGAGAAGTGCTATGTGCTAACCTTTGCTGAGTACTGCAGGTAGGTAGTACCCTGCACCAATACCTGGCCTGTTCCCTCAGACTCAGCTAGGGTGATTTGGGGGAACTGGATGGAGTTTCAAGGAAATAACTATGCTCTAGGCCCAGAGTCTTAGGGTGTTCTTCTCTAAAACCTTTAAATTGTTGTGGTTTAGTTTGCTTGAGACACGTAGTCCTGGCTGTCCTGAAACTTACTCTATAGATGAGGTTGGCTTTGAACTCAGAGCTATCCTTCTACCTCTGCCTTCGGAGTGCTAAGATAAAAGGCGTGTGTCACCAACACCTGGCTAGGATTTTTTTTTTTTTTTTTTTTTTAATTAGCAGAACTATCCCCTACTGAGGTAATTAGAGAACACAATTTAACCCAGCCTTCATGATCAAGTTGTGGTCCACTACTGTTCTGAGAGAAATCTAGGAAAATAGGAAGTATTTAAGAGAGAAAGCCCTGGAAGGTCTATGTGTCCAGGGGCTGAAGTCAACTGGAATGGCAGAGTGCACACAGCCTTGGGATGAGAGTAGAAGCACATCACCTCTTAGTTCCCACGCTGGGTTAGGGTGGGGAAGGAATTGGTTTTCCTGACAAAGAGACTGTGCTAAAGGCAGTTATGATGTGTCACTGCAGATTCTGTGCCATGGCCAAGCGCCGGGGCGAGGGCCTTCCCAGCCGGAAGACAGCACTGGTGCCCCCATCCGCAGACTACTCCACCCCACCACACCGCACAGTGCCGGAGGACACGGACCCTGAGCTGGTGTTCCTTTGCCGCCATGTCTATGACTTCCGCCATGGCCGCATCCTCAAGAACCCCCAGTAGCCTCTTCATGCTCACAGTGGGGCTGCCTTCGGGAGAATGGGGCCTGGGGCAGGGGCCACTGTTTGAAGCACAGCACTTGGTTAAGGGATCATGGGTTGCTGGCCTGTGGTTCTCTTTGGGGGGAGGGAGGGCAGGGGCCCTATGGATTCTGGGCCCCTTGGGAGAAAGGGAGGCCAGGATATGAGCAAGGTATCTAAACCCTCAACTTGGCCTGGGGTGCCCATCTGTGCACCCCAGGGTGGAGACTCCCGAAGATTCAGTCTTCCCTGAGGTTGGGCCACACCTGAGGGACATGGCCAAGGAAGGGCAGGGACGAGTAGAAGGGGTAAGGTCCTTCCAGAACCAGGCCTACCAGGCCCTTTTCTAGCTTCCCCCAGGCCTTCCAAGGGGAGCAAGAGCCAGCTTTACCTCACCCACTGTGACCCGCCGCTCCCCTGTCAGCCTGGGACCAGGCTCTGCAGATTCTAGCACAGCTCTGGCTTGTTCAGTGAGTCAAGAGAGCCGAGCTTTGACTTCCTCTTCCTGGACTCGAGGCTTTTCCCTGGCTTGCTTTCTTTACCGCTGCAGTAGCCACTGGTGCTGGCACAAGTTGACCCTGCCGACCCATGGGTGTCAGCCTCATGTCAGCTTGCCATTAAGGGTCACCCAGCAGGTCTGGCTTCCCAGAATACTGGTCAACATGGAGTTTATCATGTCTGGAAGAGCAGATAGTGCTGGGAGAGAGGGTGGGGGCAGGGGACAAGGAAAATTGCTACCTGATTTGCTGAAGATTTTTCCTCTTGCCTTATTCTTGGAGGTTCTGGGAAACCTCTTGCAGAACTTCACACAACTCTTCAAGCCACACCCACCTGAAATCAAACCAAAGGAGTGTCGTGGCTCCTCTTGCTCTGCCACCCCTTACCCTAGTCTTTTGTAGATTGCACTAATTTACACCCCAGTGAGAATCAACACTGTATCAGTCCACAGACCTGAGCTGCAGCCACTTCCTCTAGGAGCTAGGTCCTGCATTTTCAGTTCGTTCCTGTTGCCCAGAGATTGTTCTAGCCTCATGCTCCCCACCAGTGATTGATCAGAAGGCTCAGTCCCCTGTTGGCCTGGGCTGAGGGGCTGAAGCCTGGTTATTTGTACCTTGTTTGTACCAAAGAGGAGCATGGGATTGGGGAGAGTGCAGTGCAGGGAAGTGTGTGGTTTGGGCCCAGTGCTGGCTGCCTGCCACCCTGGCACTTCTACAAGGGTGTGTTCCAGGGGCATCCACTGTGGAAGATGGCACTGGGTCCTCCCTAGAGAAGGGAGACACGGGTCCAGCAGTCTGGAGTGAGGATAGTCTGACACAGGCTGCATTGGGAGGTGGAAGTGAACCGTGAAGGCAAAGACCTGGCAACCCCAGGTCCAGGCCCTGATTCTTAGAAGATAAATTGCTCCTGATGGGTGATTGGGCTGGGTGAGACCTGAAGGCTTCACAGGTTAATTTTTGTTGTTGTTTTGGAAGCCCTGTCCTAAACCCAAAGGGAAGACTTCACATTAAATAAGCTCTTTGGAGGAAGGCATAACTAACTTGTCAAGAGTGGAGATGGACCCCTTTGGAGCCTGCTTGTTCTAGGGTGCTGCCAAGGAGCCCAGCCTCACCTACAGGAGAGGAGATAAGGCCCTCCTAGTAGGGAAGGGGCTGCTGCCCAGATGTTAAATGCTTTTGGAATCTCTTTAGATGTGGAAATATTTTTTCGAACATGAAAATGCAGCTGGTAGAATTTCAATGGAAGTATAATCCATGTAAAATATATTTTAGTTGATATTTTGTAAAATGCACTTTTTGTGTGTGTCGATCCTGGTTTCCCAGATCTGTATTTCAGTGTTTACAAGGGAGGGGGTACCTTTCCTAACCTCCCTTTTGACAGAGATTAGAAGTACTTCTTTAAGAAAAATAAATAAATTTGAGAAATTGTATTGATTTAGAAAATAATTACTTTCTGTGTGTCTTGTTTTGAGTTTGGCTTGGTGCTTTTATTTTGGGGAGTTAGTTTGGATTTTAATGAGTAAATATGAAGGGGCTCACTGTTCTTGTTTCGGGGGTCCTGGTTAGTTACTCCTTGCAGCAGAAGTGCTTATTAAGGCTAACAAAGGTGTAAAGCTGGAAAAAAAAGGCAAGTGAAAAGACCCAGGAAATGGGAGCTTGAAGTTAACATTAAGGTAGCCACAGCTGCCTTCTGGGTTTGTGAAATTCTTGGGTTGCCAGCTCTGGCTTGGTCAGTGACCCAAGTGGGAGTTAGTTAATCTAGATGCATAAAGATAACTATCATAACCTTGGGACTGGTTAGAAACTTCCGTCTTCAGTTTCTGGCAGCTGGCACTCCTTTTGTGGTGTGGGATAGGACTGCATCTTGAGTTTGTGGATTTGACTGGCGGAGTAGCATGGTCCTCTTTAGAGCCCTCTCATTCTGGGATGTTGCAGTCCCCCCACCTGTTAACTCAGTCCAAATCGATGGTAGAAGAAAAGTGATGGTGAGATCAGAGCTTTCATCCCCAGTGCTTTCTATTCATGACATAGGTATGGACATATCCCATGGTATGTGCTGCCCATGAGGGTTTTAAGAGGTGTCATTTTACAGACATACCCAAGCGATCCCACCACCAGAAATCTATACACTGACTGGAAATGAACAGCAGTATAGTGGCGGGTCAGAAGTGACCTGAGATGCACCCCGCATCCAACTGGAAGGCCACTGAACCTCCCAGTTCTGACCCTTACCCTGTGTTTTCTGTGTAACTGGGTTTGGAGAGCTCTCTGTCAAACACACACACACCATTTTATTCCTCAGACTCCCTCATCTGCCTAATCAGCTAGCTTCATCTCACCATTATCACCCAATCCTACTATCATCCTCTGAGTATAACCAGTCCCAAAGTCAGTACTTCCTCCTCCCATCTAGTGTGCTGTCATGACTAGAAGTTCTTTTAGAGTAAGATCAACAGAGACAGACATAGTGGAACATGCCTATAATCTAGGCACTCGGGAGTGAGATGGGAAGACCTGAAAGTCAGCCTTGGCTATACAGTGAAACCCTTACAATGTCTGAAAAACAAAAACCTGCGGTCACAGCTACCCCAGGGTCCATACAATGGGAACATCCACAGAATCTACTTGTCAAGTAGCTGATAACTAAAGGAAATAATGAAAAAAAATTTTAGACATGTTCCCCAATCCTGTTGTCTCAGGCCTTGCTGGGGCCCCCACATGAAGTCAAGCTTCAGTGCTTAGGGACTAGTTGAATGCTGCTGTTCAAAGTACTCTGGGAGCTGCCTGTAGCCCACATGGCCAATCTGGTGCCACTGGTCACATCTTGGCTCCAATCAAGGCTTTCTGTATGGTTGCTGCGTTGTACTTGTAGGTTGTCATGAAGTATATATTTGCTATACATGGTCTCGAGGTACTTGTCCATAGCCTCTGACCAGAATGTCCCAGTTAGCCTGCTGCTTCAGATTTGGGAGGGGAGATTCCATTTACAGACAGATCAGCATTGCTCAGTAGATAAACACTAGTCCCCAGGAATTACTAAAGGAAAATGTCACCATGGAGTCATTAGCCAGATCTTGACAGAGTGGCTCTGTCCTGGACTGGGACCGGCAAGGGCGGCTAAGGATTATGATTCCAGTCAAGACATATCTCCTTATGTCTAGACCAACTGAGTGGTGGGTTGTCCTGCCTTCAGATCACAGTTGGAGGGATGGCGGTTCCGGAGCAGTTTAAAACAGAATGAAGGGTGCAAATCTTATGTCCAGCATCAAGAGGACACGTGTTAAAGAGACATGGGACCTCAGTAGCTCTTTCCCGCTTTCCAGATCTCATCTTGTCCCCAGGCCCAGGAGTCTGGATTGACCCAGGCTCATGCATCCTCTCTCGGGCTAGGGTCCGCCTGTGGCCTCCGCAAACAGCTCCTAGGACTCGGGCACCGGCCCCTCTCCCCGCCCCCCGGCGTGAGCCCGCCCCTGCGCCTGTATCAGGGAGGGGCGGGGAGAGGAGAGAGGCCGGGCGGGACATCCGGCCCTGGTCCCTGGCTGCACCCCGGGAGCCTGCTACCCACTATCCCTCTCCTCCCGAGACCGCCAGCCCCAGCCGCAGTTGCCTCTTCTGCAGCCTCAAGGTCGGTGAGGTCTGGCCGCAGCACCATGTTTCCCCGCCCTCTGACCCCACTGGCTGCCCCGAAAAGCGCCGAGACCCTGGGCCGCACGCCGAGGCGGCCCCCCTTGGGCAGGGCCCGGGCTGGGCTTGGGGGACCGCCTCTGCTGCTGCCGTCCATGCTGATGTTCGCAGTAATCGTGGCCTCCAGCGGACTGCTGCTCATGATCGAGCGGGGCATCCTATCGGAGATGAAACCCCTTCCCCTGCAGCCTCCCAGCCACAAAGGCGCGGCCTGGAGCGGGACAGATCCTAAGTCTAGAGGCCTATCCTTGTATGCTGGGGACTCGGACTTGCAAGTGAGGGAGGACATCCGAAACCGGACCTTGAGGGCCGTGTGCGGACAACCAGGCATGCCTCGAGACCCCTGGGACTTGCCGGTGGGACAGCGGCGCACCCTGCTGCGCCACATCCTCGTAAGTGACCGCTACCGCTTCCTCTACTGCTACGTCCCCAAAGTGGCCTGCTCTAACTGGAAACGCGTGCTGAAGGTGCTGGCGGGTGTCCTAAACAATGTGGATGTCCGCCTCAAGATGGACCACCGCAGTGACTTGGTGTTTCTGGCAGACCTGCGGCCTGAGGAGATTCGCTACCGTCTGCAGCACTACTTCAAGTTCCTGTTTGTGCGAGACCCCTTGGAACGCCTCCTGTCTGCTTACCGCAACAAGTTTGGAGAGATCCGAGAGTACCAGCAGCGCTATGGGGCCGAAATTGTCAGGCGCTACAGGGCTGGAGCTGGCCCCAGTCCTGCAGGAGACGATGTCACCTTCCCAGAGTTTCTGAGATATCTGGTGGATGAGGATCCTGAACATATGAATGAGCATTGGATGCCTGTGTACCACCTGTGCCAACCATGTGCTGTGCACTACGACTTCGTGGGTTCCTATGAGAGGCTGGAGGCCGATGCCAACCAGGTGTTGGAGTGGGTACAGGCCCCACCCCATGTCCGGTTCCCAGCTCGCCAGGCCTGGTACCGGCCAGCCAGCCCAGAAAGTCTGCATTACCACCTGTGCAATGCCCCACGAGCCCTGCTTCAAGATGTGCTACCTAAGTATATCCTGGACTTCTCCCTCTTTGCTTACCCACTGCCCAATGTCACCAAGGAAGCCTGTCACCAGTGACAGTGGGCCAGCACCTTTTGGAGTTTGGATTTAATGACACCAGCTTTGAAGAATCTTTCAGAGAAACTCCTAGGTCTGGGGCTTCCTGATTTCTCTAGGTATATCCATATCTCAGTGGTAGGGACTGTCCTCGGAAGTCCTTGTCCACAGTGACTCAGATCTAGAAAGGAGGCCTGCTGCTTTCACTGGTGAACTGACTCCCTTAGGGGCCTGTGGCATCCTTGTCTGCAGAGCACCAGTGGTTATTAAAGCCATATGTTTGATCTAAAGACTGACTCCAAGCCCCTGGCTGCTGGGTCTATGCAGTCCACCTGGTCCGTTGTAATTTAACCTGTGGCCAAATCCCAAATATGGCACTAGCCAGGCACTTGATCATGCCCAGGACCAATGGCTCTGACCCCCATTCATCCACTCCATGGACCTCAGAACTGGAGTGAGCTGTGGTGCTTAGAAATGAAATCTGTGCCTTTCTACTCCAAACTTTAAATTTCCTCCTCTTGCTAGGTCTGAATCATTTTTCTAAGGAAAGAGAAACTAAAGTAGGGCCTTACCTTGAAGCTCTAAGCCTGGCCCCTCAAGCATCCAAAGACCCCTATGCCTGACCTCTTCCTAGGGCTCCTAGGGCTCCTGGAGCATCTTCAATAAGCCTCCCTTCCCTACAAACTGTTTGAGACTGTGTGAGACTGTGTGTGGCCTGTGTATTTGACTGTTGTCACTTGTCTAATGCATTTATTTTAAATGTGTATATTTTGATAGAATCCTTGTTAAGGGCTGACTTTTAATAAAGCTTTTTTGTTTTGTTTTGTTTTGTTTTTTGTATACAAAATGAGCATCTCTGTGATTTCCCTCAGTTCCCAATGGTGCTGGGAGACTCCTAGTGCTTGCTTTCCCAGGTCAAAAGAGAAAGCTTGCAAGTAGAAGCAATAAGACAACATAACTAAACCTGCTTAAACAGGTCCAGTGGCCCCTGTCACACCATAAAGTCTTTTGGGACTTCTAATATGCTCACAGACTCAGTTTCTAAGATGCCATTTAAAAGGTAAGGCCTGCCAAGAATGACACCAGCCAGGGGAACGGAGTATACACACCTTTAATCCAAGACAGTCTCTGAGTTTGAGGCCAGCCTGGTATATACATGGGGTTCCAGACCAGACAGGGGTACACAATGTGGCATCAGGTATACAGCACACCTATGTGGATTAGTCAGTCCTTACAGGGAATGAGGGCTGGAGAGGTGGCTTAGTGGTCAAGTTCAGAAGGACCTGAGTTCAAGTCCTAGCACCCACCTCAGGTGGCTCCAGCCTGTAACTCTAGCTCCAGGGACTCTGATGGCTCTGACTTCTGTGGGTACCCATACATACATGATACACATGCATACAAATATATACAATACACATGATTAAAGGAAAAGAAAACTCAAAGGAATGGATAGGAGGCATGGGCTCTGCATTAGCTTAGCTTAGGCAAAAACATGTTGAATTTTTTTCTTGGTCCGTTTTTTGTTTTTGTTGTTGTTGTTTTGTTGACATAAAATCCTGATTCTGTGTAGCCTTGGCTATCCTAGAACTTGATATATACACCAAGCTGGCCTCAAACTCTGCAATCCACCTGCCTCTGTCTCCTGAGTGCTGGAATTAAAGGCATGAGCCACCATGTCTGACTATTTTTTTTTTTTAAGTTAAGGTGGCTTCTCTATAGTTTTTGATTTGAGATAAGGTGGGGAGGGCTTACCAAACCTAGGCTAGACTTAAAAGTACAATCCTACTACTGCCTTAGCCTCTGGAATTATAGGTGCCTACCACTATGCCAGCTAACAGCAACAACAAAAAAGGGATTACTGTGTGAGTAAGGGGAGAACTGAGAATTACAAAAGGGATTGTCAACAAGTCCGCAAGCCTCAAGGACCTCAGGAGTCCTCCATTCTTAGCCCACTCCTTGCTCTTTGTTTCTTACCTGGGCTTTATAGCAATTCCAAACCTGTATCAGCCAATGGTGCCCTCGAAGGTGCCACTAGGGCAAAGGCAACCTAGAAAGCCCAAAGAGCAGGATGCTCAGCCATTGGCTCTGCTTCATTCCACTTAATACTGAGGAGCTCAGTTCCCTAATGTGTCATCCTGTCTTACAGATATGGGAATCAGCCCAGAGATCGTGAGTAGCCACCCAAAGAGTTGACCCCAGGTGTACATTCCTCTCAAGTAGGAGGGAAAAAGAAAAAGGCAGACAGATGGGCCAGCTGACCACACTGAGGGGTGGAGAAAGTCTGTGGAAGGTGGGAGTAGACAGAAACAAGGATGAGAAAACAGGACTCACTGATGGGGTTGTGGGCAGAGGCCTGTAACAAAATTTCTCCACTCTGATTTGGAAAGAATTGAACCCAGCCTAACTGGTTAACCAAGAACACTGTTCTAGTGGGGAAAGGGGAGGAGCAAAGTCCTTGATTAGCATATTGATTCTCGTCCACCTGGCAGAAAAGGGATGCTGGGCCACAGAGCATCCTGCTGGCCAGAGGTGGACAGCTGTGACATAGGAGAAGTGAAGGGACAAGCAGAGAGAGCAACAAGACAAACAGCACTACTGGGCCTTTTTGCTTACATTTTCTTCCCAGGGAATGAACTTCTGAAAGAGGTCCACAAGGAAATTGCAGAGTTGTGGGGCCCAGCGGATTCTAGTGGGAACTGACTTTCCCTCCATGTCTAGGCCAGAGTGGAGATGCTGCAGGCTCTGGGTCACCAAGAGAATGGACTTCTCAGGAGTGGACTCCAAAGCTACATCTTCTGAGAATTCCTGCCTTTCCCTGGGTCAGCTACGATTTTCACTCAGACCAAACCCTGCTCTAGGCTGGCCCCTAGGAGAACAAGGGCCCATTTAAAAGTAACTCTACCCAGAACAACTCAGGTCCCCCGGATACAGAGTGAAGGGACTAGAATTGTTTAACTTCTGTTACAGTCAGGGGCCAAGGGCAGAGGAAAGGGAAAAGGCCCCATAGGGTCTGGTTCTCTGAGTCTGGACCCTGACTCCACTTCGAAGCTCCAGTGCTTGTTTCTCTGCCTGTCTGAGGCGGCTTGTACAGAAACTCTCCTCCCTGCAGGAGGCCACATCATCCAGGACCCTGCAGAAAGCCATAATAAGGGCAGAAGAACTGCTGACCCACCTCTCTGGGACAACACAGAACCCTCATTTATCCTAGGGGATCCAATCACGGCGGGGGCAGACTCCCAAGCCCACTCCTAGGATGGACCCAGAGCCTTTCTTTCTCAAGCCAGCTTCTGCCTGGCCTGCTTTTCAGATTCTAAAAACAATAGCAAGTAACAATGGCTCCCCTAAGTGTGAGAGCCTGGCCAGTATGTTATATGCAGTCTTTGCCATCCTTGCAACTCAGTACAGAAAGAAAAACCTGTTCCTATACTAGAGAGGAGGAAGTCAAGCCTGAAGATTAAAACCTAGTTCTGTTCAGCGTCTGCCTCCAGAGAGTGAGTCTGTGGGCATTGTAGGTGACCCAGTCCATTGTGTGTGCTGTGAGCATCTGCAGTTTTCTCCTGCGTTTTCCCTTTCCAGTCTTCTTTCCTAACACTGTACAACTGATTCTATCCATGGGCTTTTCCAAATCTGACAAAGTTCCCCAGGCTTGCCCTCTCCAAAATCAATTTTCTGGTTTATGCTAGCCTAAGACCACAAATGCAGTATGTTCACATTTTTCAAGTTGTTGTGAATATAGAATTTGACATGCTCGGGCAATGATAATGCATGCCTTTAATTCTGGCACTAGGAAAGCAGAGGCAGGTGGATCCCTGAGTTCTAGGCCAGCCTGGTCTACAGAGTGAGTTCCAGGACAGCCAGGGTTACCCAGAGAAATCCTATCTCAAAAAACAAAAACAAAAAAAAAACACAAATAAAAAAGAATTTGATGTGCAAAAAATTAGAAATTTATTGGAAATACTCAGCCATTGTGGATAAACTGGTATTCCCATACTTGGAAGACTAAGACAGAAGGATTTCCTAAGATGTTTGTTTAAAAAGGAAAGAAGGAAGGAAGGAAGGAAGGAAGGAAGGAAGGAAGGAAGGGAGGGATGGAGGGAGGGAAAACTTGTTGAGCATGGTAGCTAATGTCTATAATCCCAGCAAGTTGCTGTGATTTTGAATGAGGCTGATCTATATAGCAAGTTTTAAACCAGCCAGGTAAGGAAGAGGGAGTCAGGAAGAGCCTACCCCTGTGAGATGAAAAGCCAGGAAGAATTCTGAAGCCACTAAGTCTGTTTATGGCAGGACTGTAAGAGAAATTCCATCAGAAGGTAATCTCTATAGGGATGATAGTGTTGGTACTCCACCAGGCCGGCAGCAGGCAGCGAACAAGAGCCTTGAGGCACACAGAGAGGTGCCAAGGCTGGTAGGTAGGGGTACTTGTCAGCCAACTGCATTTTTCCAGCAGGTCATCTCAAAGAAAGATGCTAATATTCTAGTCGTGTGATCCCATGGCTGCTACACAGAACCAATGTGCGGCTTTGACTTTTGCCTATTGTCCCCCTGGGCTCTGTTGACATCATTTTGCTGAGCAGTGCTGGGGTCTTACTCATGCTAGGCAGCAACTCCACCAGTGAGTTGCATCCCGAGCCTTTGCAGCCTTTGTTTTGTAAATATTTAATTAGGATAAGGAGAGAGAGAGAGAGAGAGAGAGAGAGAGAGAGAGAGAGAGAGAGAGAGAGAGAGAAAGCGCTTTGTGTATATGAGTGTGAGTCTATGCTGCCAAAACAAGATGTGGCAGTAGGAGGATGTCCTGGCCTTTCACCTTGTTGTGACAGGGTCCCTTGTTGCTGTATGCCAGGCCAGCTGGCCTTTAAGCTTCTAGAGATTCTCCTGTCTCCACCTTCCACCTCATCGGAGGTGCACAAGAACTACTGTGCTCAGCTGTAGATGGATAGACAGGATTCAGACTCAGGTCTTGACACTTCTACTCACCAAGCTCTTATCTGTTCCAAATTTTATTTCTAGAATATCATATTTGTGTTTCTGTGTCTGTCCAGATATATGTATGTGCACATGTGTGCTGGCCCCCAAGAAGACCAGAAGAGGGTAATGGATTCAGTTGAAGCTAGAGTTATTGGCAGTTGTAAACCACCTGAGATGATTGTTGGGAACAGAACTTAGGTCCTATGCAAGAGCAATACATACTCTTGACCATCTTTCCAGGCCCCTGTCTCCTGTCTTATAGCTGGTCTCTGTCAGTGCTCTTCAAGTGGTCACTGAAGGATATACACAGTCATCATTCACAAATTTGCCTTCTCGGGGCATCCTTTCTGCAGTTTACCCAGCTTAGGAAGGTTTCTGTTATCTAGACTGTGTTTTGTCATTAGTGTTCAATATCTCTGGTGGCTTCCACAACCCCAGCTCCTCCATCACACACTGCTGGAGTGAGGAGGGCAGAATCAGCTGGTAAAGATAACAGAGAGTGAGTTCAGATGCTGGTGTTGTCTACTAAACCTGGCTCCCTCTGAATATGATCTTCCAGCTAGACTTGAACTCCAAGACAACGTGAAAAGAAAGGGAAGTTCCCCAAAGACAGCATCCAGGGATTCACACATACATGAAAACTTTCTCTCTCCCTCCCCTCTCTCTCCCCCTCCCTTCTCTCTCTTTCTCTCTCCCTCCTCTCTCCCTCCCTCCCTCCCTCCCTCCCTCTATAGA